CGTGCCCTTGTGACCGTTGGGTCCGCCCAGGATGCTGGGTGAGCTGGGACGAGCGTGAGAGGGGCGCCGTCTTAGCAGGCACAGCAGCGCTTTCAGGGGAGCGAGCCTGAGTCCTCCCCAGCCCCCCTTTCTGGTGGGGCCCGGTGCTGGGACGGATCCACGTGTGGCAGGCCAGAAGCAAGACGGGGACTTGATGACGCCTGCCGTGGAAGAGCGTGAACGATGACGACCCTGCTGCCCCTCTCTGGACGTCGGATCCCGCCTCCGAGCCTGGGGCCCCCCTCCTTCCCACACCACAGGGCTACCTTGAGACTCTCGGAGAAGTTCATCCTGCTCCTCATCCTCAGTGCCTTCGTCACCCTGTGTTTTGGGGCGTTCTTCTTCCTTCCAGACTCTTCGAAGCACAAACGCTTTGATCTGGGCTTGGAGGATGTGCTGATTCCGCACGTCGAGGCCGGCAAAGGGGCCCGAGACCCGGGCGTCTTCCTGATCCACGGGCCCGTTGGGCACAGACACAGGTGGGTTTCCCCCGGGAGTTCCGGGCGGACCGTGGGCCTCGGGGGTGCCGCGGCGCGGCCGGTCTGCCCCCGCCCGCCCCGCCCGCCCCGCCCGGGAACGCGGCTTTCCCCGAGTCGGGGGAGTTGCGGCGCTGGTTGTTGAAAGCCGGCTGGGCGCACCGCAGGCCGGAGGGGCTCCTGGAGTCCCATCCGAAGCCCCCTCTTTCGCTGTGCCTAGGAGGAGGGGACGCTGGTGTTCGGGGTCGCCGAGTCTCAGTGTGCAGTCGGGAATGGGGGCCTGGAAACTCACAGGAACGGTGACAGATGCCTGCGCCTGCGTTTGCCAAGCACGTGTTGCATCCGCCGTTGTGCCGCCGTGTGAAATCAGTTCCTTGAGTCTTGACGGCGCCTGCGGGGTCGCTCCTCCAAAGGCCCCTCATTTTCCGGCCTGAAGCTGAAGCTTAGGAATCAGCCTCAGCTTTTAGGGTGATAAACATGGGCAGAATATCCCTGTCGTGTTTAAAAGGGCGTTTGTGGTCGGTCCATATGGAATCCGTGACGTTGAAAGGTGTTGACCTCCTAAGTCATTTCACTTTGTGAGGCTCGTAGACAAGACTTGGTTATTTTTTAAAATTTAATTTTGCTCTTTTTTTTTTTTTTTTTAACGTGTGGACTGTGCCAAACAACTATTAGAATTTGGTTCACCTTCTTAAAGATCACCAAATCTGAAGTGTGCGCTTGGGGGAGAGTACAGCCAAATTAGGGTAATGGAGCTCTAGTTACGATTATTTTAAGTTATTTATATATGGTTACTCAAAAGAGCAGTTTGTGAAAGTCGAGTTGAGAAAACTTAACCCTACCCTCTTTTCCTTATTTCTTAAAATAATTCTTGAGTGTGGGGAAAAAAATGCTTTTTCAGTTCTTGACTGATGTTAGTTTTAACTTTTTGTCAAAGTACAAGCTTTCTGGAAAAGCTTAGGTTCACACGTGAGCCTAAATTAAATACTTGGGAAAAGGCACTGCTTTAATGAAATCTGGGTTTTACTTTTCTCAGCCTCGTTAATTCATTACTTGCTTGATGGGTCTTTGACTTTTGACTGAACCTTATGGAGGAGTTGCTTCTAATATTGTTTCATACCACTGTTTTGTGACTAAGTTAGTTTGGAATTTTTGCCAGATTTTTCAACTTTTGTACATTTTTGGATTTGTTTCTTTAATTTCGCCCCTTGCTTTTTGTGACTTCAAGAAAAATTTGATGTCATCTGTGAAATATGTAAAATTAACACTGAAAGCACTGTTTTCCTTAAAAACCTTTTTTCGCATAGTATTTGTATAATCTATGATGTATATGTAAAAAAGTGATGAAAAACAGTGTGTTGTTTAAGGCTGGTTTCAGGGATGTCTGACAGCAGTCATGCATTAGCATTATTTAACTCATAGTAACCTGTCGTATACTAAGTAGTTTAAACCAATATTTTGGGGGTCTAAAGGTTTTTAAAAAGTGGACACATTTGAGTCCATTCAAGCAGAGAAAAATAAAATAAAAATAAAATAAAAACATTCATGCAGAAAAATTCTTAGTTTAATGGAGTTAAAATATGAAATTTGAATGAAAATATGTAAGTGCGCATTATATTCACATTGAAAAAAATCTAAAGTAGCTTAAGCAAGAATTCTTAAATTTATAAAGCCCTTGAATACATACTTATATGTATTTAGCTACCTAAAGCTACTGAGTTCTTGAGTTTGGAGTGAGAGATTGGTTATTGAGTCCTGATAGCAAGGGGTAGTGAGTGAACCATATCCTGAGTTTTGGGTAGTGAGTGTCCAGAGACCAGGTAATACACATGAGAATTTATTGGGATCGATTTGAATCCTGAGTTTTGGGACACAAGAATTCAGGTAAGTTTAGTGTGCCAGGTATCCTTTGTGTTGTCTCTTTCTATTTCTGTTGTTAGATCAGTTTATATTTGTTTAATGTGTTATTTGTTGTTGCTTACTAGATCTGAAAACATGTCTGTAGCAATAAACATTTTTTTATTTTGAGCAAGGAAATACATTTTGAATTAAGTATACGCTTAATATGTGGAAACAAAACATCAAATGAATGTATAAACATTAACTTATTTAAAAGTAATTTAGAAAGGTAGCATTTTTACAGTTGATACTAAGATCATACTTATTTTGGATATAGGTGAACAATAATCTTTTTTTTGTTTGCTTTTTGAGTCGGAGTCACTCTGTCACCCAGGCTGGAGTGCAGTAGCATGCTCTTGGCCACCACAGCCTCGACTTGCTGGGCTCAGGTGATCCTTCTGCTGACACTTTGTAAGTAGCTGGAACCACAGGCGGGCGCTACTATGCCCAGCTAATTTTTTTTTTTTTTGAGTTAGAGTCTCACTCTGTCACCC